TGGTTCTTAAGTGAACCATGGTCAAAGTTAGCTTCTCCTGCAAACTTGCTAAACCGTGGGAGTTAAGCTTACCTTACCATGGTTCCTAGTGAACCATGGTTAAGGTTAGCTCCTCCTAGAAGCTACCTCTACCTTATATATTTGTAATTACCTCTCTTGTACTCACTTTTGACAAATTTGAGAAATGAAATCTGATTTTCTCTCTCACTCAAGAGTCCCTAAACCGTGGAGAAATTCTCTCCTAGGTTTTCTAGCAAAGTTCTTCAACTTTGCTTTGGTTCCTCAAGCTTCCTATGCAAGCTAAGGAAAACCGAACCACTTCAAGGCTTCTTCTCCATTGAAGAACACTTCAAGGAGCTTCAACGAACCATTGGAGTCTTAACCTCAAGATCATTTTCGGTCCTAAGCATGGAGTCATTGAAGAACATCAATCTTCTTCAACTTAGCTCCATCAAAGGGAGAGAAGAGAGGGACGGTTCTCACAACCTCCCCAGCAACAGGAATTTTCGTTCCTGAAAATAGACTTACTTGGGAATAGAAACGGATACCGCTCCCTGCACTGCTGCTCCACCTCCCAAGTAGCCTCACCAGTAGCTGCATCCCACAACACCTTCACCAGAGCAATGGACTTGCCCTTCAGCTCCTTCAGCTTGTGATCAACCACAGCTACTGGCAACTTCTCAAAAGTCAGATTCTCCTTCACCCGCACATCATCCAGCTCCATCACATGACTAGGGTCATGAAAATACTTCCTCAGCTGGGATACATGAAATACATCGTGTAGGTTTGAAAGAGACGGTGGCAAGGCCAACCGATAAGCAACCGAACCCACTCGCTGTATGATCTGATAGGGACCAACAAACCTCGGTGTCAACTTCCTTACCTTCAGTGCTCTACCCACACCAGAAGTCGGGGTCACCTTCAAAAATACATGTTCCCCTTCAGCAAACTCCAAAGGCTTACGCCTTTTATCAACATATGATTTTTGCCTACTCTGAGCAGTCTTCATCCTCTCTTGAATCAGCTTCACTTTCTCAATAGTCTGTAGGATCAGCTCCGGTCCCACAACCACTAACTCACCATCTTGATACCAGCACAGAGGAGTCCTACATCTCCTGCCATACAAGGCTTCAAACGGTGCCATCCCAATGCTAGCATGAAAACTATTATTGTACGTAAACTCAACCAGCGGTAAGACCTCCTCCCAACTTCCCAAGTGGTCTAACACACAAGCTCTCAACAAATCCTCTAAGGACTGGATTGTCCTCTCTGAATAACCATCCATCTGAGGATGATAAGCAAAACTCAGCTTCAGCTTCGTGCCTAAGGTTTGATGTAGACTCTGCCAAAATCTGGAAGTGAACCTCGGATCTCTGTCTGAAATAATACTGGAAGGCACCCCGAGCAACCGTACTATTTCCCTAACATACAACTGTGTCAGCTTCTCCAAGGACCACTTGATGTTGACAGGCAAGAAATGTGCACACTTGGTCAACCGATCAACTATCACCCAGATAGCATCACTATTCCTAGCCGACCAAGGCAACCCCACAATGAAGTCCATAGTAATACTATCCCACTTCCATTTCGGAATCTCCATCTGTTGTATCAAACCACTCGGCTTCTGATGCTCCACCGTCGCCTTCTGACAGGTCAGACAGGCTGCCACATATTCAACTATTTCCCTTTTCATACCAGACCACCGGAAAGTATTTTTGAGGTCTTGGTACATCTTAGTCATATCAGGATGTATGCTAAGTCTGTTCTTGTGGCCTTCCTACAACACAACTCTCTTCAGCTCAACATCTTGAGGTAGCCAAATTCTGCCCTTGAATCTCAAGATTCCATCTCCGCTCAGCTCAAAACCAACAGCCTTCTCAGTTCCTAGCAAACCAAGAAGCTTCACCAGCTCAACATCTTGCAACTGCTTAAGTCCAACCTGCCTCAAGAACTCACTAGTTATGGTAATCATCCCACAACTAATGTGATCCTGAGCTAACTCCACACAAAGATTTAAATCTCTGAACTTCTCCACCAGCTCCAGCTCTTTCACCATCATACCAGACATGTGGATGGATTTCCTACTCAACGCATCCGCCACAACATTGGCCTTCCCAGGATGATACATCAACTGGAAGTCAAAATCCTTCAGAAACTCCATCCACCGCCTCTACCTCATGTTTAGCTCCTTCTGATCAAACAGGTACTTCAGACTCTTGTGATCACTGAAGACGCTGAACCGAGCACCATACAGATAATGTCTCCATATCTTCAAGGCAAAAACAATAGCTGCCAACTCCAAGTCATGAGTGGGATAATTCCTCTCATGGTTCTTCAATTGCCTTGAAGCATATGCCACTACTTTCCTGTTTTGCATCAGCACGCACCCCAGACCCTGGTGAGAAGCATCACAATACACATCAAAGGCTTCACCAAAATCGGGCAACACCAGCACAGGAGAAGTAGTCAACCTCCTCTTCAGCTTATCAAAACTCCGCTCCCAGGCATCTGTCCAAATGAACGGCTGCTCCTTCCTTGTCAGCTGGGTTAGGGGCGCTACTATCTTAGAGAATTCCTCAATGAAACTTCGATAGTAACCCGCTAGACCCACAAAACTCCGAATGTCCGTGACAGTTCTTGGACGCTCCCACTACAACACCGACTCCACCTTAGCCGGATCAACAGCAATCCCCTCATCTGAAATCACATGTCCCAAGAACTTCACCTCTTCTAACCAAAACTCACATTTTGAAAGCTTGGCATACAACTGCTTCGCCTTCAAAATCTCCAGCACCAACCGCAAGTGCTCTCCATGCTCCTCCGGGATCCTTGAATAAATCAGGATGTCATCAATGAATACCACCACAAATTTATCCAAGAAGGGCCGGAAGATCCTGTTCATGTAATCCATGAACACTGCTGGGGCGTTGGTCACACCAAACGACATCACAACATATTCATAGTGACCATACCTAATCCTGAAAGCGGTCTTTGGTATGTCACCCTCCTTCACCCTGATCTGGTAATAACCTGACCTCAAGTCAATCTTGGAAAATACAGATGCTCCCCTCAGTTGATCCATTAAGTCATCTATCCAGGGAAGTGGATATTTGTTCTTAATGGTCAACTTGTTCAACTGTCATTAATCCACACAAAGTCGACTACCTCCATCTTTCTTCTTCACTAACAACACGGGGGCACCCCACGGTGATACACTCGGCTGCACCAACTGCTTTTTCAACAGGTCTTCTAACTGACCTTTCAGCTCAACCAACTCAGCAGGGGCCATCTTATAGGGAGCCACTAACACTGATCCCGCACCTGGGACCAAGTCAATGCTAAACTCCATCTTCCTAACAGGAGGCAACCCAGGCACATCATCAAGGAATACCTCAGCAAAATCCCTCACCACATCAATCTCAGCAATGACCCTCTCGGTCTCCACACTCATGGCAGCAAGCAAAAGACAGCATTCTGCTCCATCTCTCAACAATGATTCAGCTTAGCCAGCTGAAATCAACAATTCATCCTCCTTTTGAGGAAAGATCAACCGCCTATTGGCACAATCTATAAGGATGCAATTGGCAGACAACCAATCCATCCCTAAGATTATGTCAATGTCCACCAAAGGTAAACAGATCAAGTTCACCTTGTACCTCTCCTCATTCACCACAATCGGACAACCAGCACACAGCTCAGAAGTAACTACCTAAGCAGAAGCAGGCGTTGACACTAGCAGTCTCAACCCCAAATCACACAGAGGCACGCCCAGCATAGCAGCACAAGCATAAGATATAAATGAATGAGAAACACCAGAGTCGAAAAGAATCATCACATCCTTACCAGCATCTCTACCCTTCCCATTTACAAGATCTGAAGAAGTAGAAGCTTTAGCCCCAGTCAAGGCGAATACTCTGCCAGTAGTAGTAGGTCTATCACCCCTCTAAGCATCGCCTCTCTGGGCACCACCCCTCTGAGCATTTCTCTTCGGTCTGTTTCTGGCGGGACAGTTGATCGACTCATGACCCATCTGATGGCACTTGAAACACTGGCTCTCCGTGTGTGGAAAATCCCTTACAAAATGCGGTCCAACACACCTGTAACATCTAAGAGTGGCACCTCCACTCTGTCCCCCTCCTCTAGCAGCATCATAAGGTTGCCTAATGATAGGACCCCATTGTTGTTGTTGGGGCCTATCATATGGCTTCCTTTGATTTCCTCCCTTTTTGGACCCAGCTGGTCCCTCAGCAGTCCTAGTCACACGGTTGCCACCTTCTAACCGCTCAACAATTTTTGCCTTCTCCACCAAGACCGGAAACTCAGTGATGGCCATAGGCACCACCACCTTTTTCAGCTCGTGCTTCATACCCTCAGCAAACTTCTTGCATTTTCAGGCCTCAGAAATAGCTTGCAAATAGAAACGAGCCAGGTGCTCGAATCTCATCGCATACTCAAAAACTGTCATCCCTCCCTAGTGCAACCGCATGAACTCAGCTTCCTTGGCGTGTCTCACGCTCTCCGGGAAGTACTTCTCCAAGAACACTCTCCTGAAACACTCCCAGTCAACAACCACTCCTCTAGCAGTAAGCATATGGTGAGTACCCCTCCACCAATGCTTAGCCTCCCCAACCAGCATGTATACAACATATGTCAGCCTCCTCTCCTGAGAACATCCCAGCACTGTGAAGATCTTCTCCAGCTCACAAATCCAGTGGTCAGCTACCTCTGGGTCTGCATCTCCCTTGAACTGTGGAGGATGACATTTCCGGAACTCAGCTAGATCCCGACTCTCTTGTGACCCCATGGGCCTTGCTGCACCAGCCGCAGCTCTATCAGCTTCCATCCTAGCAAAATAAGCATTTTGCTGCGACATAGCCATAGCCATCATCTCCATGGCACGGGCTATCTGCTCATTGGTTCTAGTCATTGTCTATAAAAGTAACAACATCTTTGGTATACAATAACTAATGACAACAACAATTAACAGCACAACAAGCAATAAAGGAATCAGCACAACAATCAACATAACACAGAGCTCAACACATCAAAAGCCTAAAGGAACCACCCCCAAAGAGTGTCCACTAGACTCGAACTGCTCTAATACCACTAAAGTGTAACGACCCGACTGGTCACTTCACACAACTCAACACACCACACAGAAAAGATCAAGTATATACATATAACGTCTAGAATATATATATATATATATACAAGGTCCAAATCTGGATAAGGTGTCAGATTATACAAAATAGATCCAGCAATGCTACACTAAGTAGCTAAAAATGACAAAAGAATAAAACTCCATCTGCCAGCTGCAGACCCTCCTCAGCTCACCAACCTAACCCTGCTCTGCTCTCATACATAGTATGATCATCGCAGTCCAAACCACATGAAAACAACAAAGGATAAGCGAGTGAAAAGAATCAACATACATATATAAATATATGAATGGTAGACGGCTACAACTATCAGTACATCAACCAGCTTAACAACATCAGCCCATAATATATCACAGCATTCAGCAATAACAGCACCGCATAGCGGCAATAACAGCATTGCATAACAGCAATAACAGCATCGCATAGCGACAATAACAGCACAGCATAGCGGCAATAACAGCACCGAATAGCGACAATAACAGCACTGCATAGCGACAATAACAACACCGCATAGCAGCAATAATAGCACTGCATAGCAGCAATAACAGCGTCGCATAGCGACAGTAACAGCACTGCATAGCAGCAATAATAGTATACAGCTCAACATTATACAGTACCGCCAAACAACTCACAGCCCAGCTAACACAGCTCAAAGCACAACACAGCACAGCTAAACAACTTACAACACAATAATTTACATCAACTACGTCTTAACACCATAATTCAGCAATTATCATCTAACAGCACAGTAATATTCACCATTTACAGCTCAGCTCAGCATATACCCACATCCATCAGCAAATTTCAGCAAAATTCAACACACAACAGCCTATAATTACTCATCACATCCGCGCCCGACGCGCTCATGGTCGCGCCCGGCGTGGCACAGCCAGAGAGCACCAGGGACCAGCGCGCCCGACACAATTCTCATTGCGCCCGGCGTGATGGGAGGCAGAGACCTCAATAGGTCTCACAAGCCCGGCGTTCTCATCCTGCGCTCGGCGCAAGAAAGCAGATACCTCCCAAGGGTCTCACGCCTGGCGCAATATAAATTGCGCTCGGCGCCACCTCTAGTAGAGACTCTCAAGGAGTCTCCACGCCAGGCGAGACATGGTCACGCCCAGTGCCACACCAGAAACCCCCAAAAGCATGTCACATACTGATATCATGCCCAACGCTGTCCCACCACGCCCGGCGTGGGTCATCCAGAGGCTCACATTTGCAAGCTCGCCCGGCGCACACATCTTTGCGCCCGACGGGCTTGCCCAAAAGGGAGCCCTCTAGTGGTCACACGCCCGGCGCCAAGAACTGCACCCGGCGTGATACTCAGTAGCAACCCAACAAGTACGAAAATTTCTTCAAAAACCTGCATTAACATCCTGAAAATCCACATGTAATCGGTCCAAAACATCACATTTTCATTAAATCACCCAAAAAGCCCAACTTTACCCACATGCAACCATAAACAATGAAAATCCCCAAATTTTCACCCAACCCTGAAAGTCCCGAAAACGAGTTTTCTTCAATCTCAGCCACAATTATCAAATCATCCAACCATCCATGAGTTACTAAACTCATTTTCACACAACCGACATGAATCCTAGCTTCCCTTACCTCGGTGAAGAAATCCGAGCTTCCGGGAAGGAGAAACGGGGAAGAAGATGAAGAAAAGCTCAACGGAGAAGAGCAAAGAATATCCGGCTCCAGCTAGCTCCACACGGCTTGCGTTTGAGAAGAAGAACCTCTAAGGAAACACCTCTTCAGCTAGAAAGAAAAAGAGTGAGTGAGAGTGAAGTAAAGAGAGTGAGAGTTGAAAGGGAGAGAAGAGAAGGACGGTTCTCACAGACATCATCCATAACTAATGATGTTAGTTTTTTATTTTTTTTTATTTTTTTTAAAAAAAAATTTATCCTTAGAGACCAAATTAGAGGTAATTGGAAAAGCTTGTAGAAGAACTAATTAAAATGAACGACTATTTAAGTATGGAGATCGGAAGGTATTCTATCCATTACATTTTGTTTGAAGTTTTGACAATTATTGTTTATTTCAATTTAATTGTGGTTTTACTATATTGATGTAATATTATTTTTTTTAACTCTTAATTATAATTAATACATCCTTCAATTAAATCGCTGACTTTTTCCTTTTTCACTAGAAAGATATATTCAAAAGTTACATATAATTACATATAGTTGCATCCTTCAACATATAGTTGTCAACTTGTCAAACATTTTAATTTTATTTTTTAATTTTTGTGACTAAACATTAAATATTAAAACAAAATGAAATTAATAATATTTATATAAATATGCATCCCAAAATGATCGTAATTTACACACAAATTAAGAATAATAATAAATATATTTTTTTTTATAATTTTATTAAAATAATCTTACTTTACATTACTTTTTCTTGCGGTAGTTAAATAATTATGAAAAGACTCATTTTTAAAAATATAATATTATATTAAAAAGTGAAAATATCAATTACTTATAGATATTTTCTAAATACTACCTACTATAATTGTGATCCATATGAGATAGAGAGAATATTATTATTATTATTATTATTATTATTATTATTATTATTATTATTTTATACGGTGGAAATTAAACTTAATAAAAAAATTACAACACTTACCCTTCCTACTCAACCAATCAAGCAATTAAGTATTACTATTACGGCAAGGAGAGAAGTTCAGTAATTTATATTCCATAATTGGTCTTGTGTTGTGACAACACCAATAGGCCCCAAGGACTGCAAAGATGTGTAAAACAAAAATAATGGAAATTTATTCATCATTTGTATTTCTTTTAACATATTTAATAATTTGCTTCTGTATTAATACTATACATATCATTTATGGTATGTCTCATAACTTCATCTTTTAGATTAGAAGCTGAGATTAAATTAAGAGGATAGATGATAAAAATATGTAATCTAAATTAATCAAAAAGTAAACTAATAGTAATGCTGGTGCATGATAATCATGACCCATCTTAAAATCTGTGAATGAATAATTGAAATCTTAATTAATTCATCATGTATATATCAATCGTTACTCATTCAGCTTAACTCGTTGGCTATACTTTATATATAGGATCATAAGTGATATGCTTAAAATGTTTCTGATATTAAACGAGGCAATAGAATATGTTGGAACTTGAATGGAAAATCCCAAACTGCATTGTAAAATGTGAACATGACAAAAAAAGATGCATTAATTATGATACGATCAGAATCAGCTGTCATACTATAATCTTATCTCTACATTGTTCATTGTGGTACTGCATGATTCTACTGTCACTCGGTCGCACGTTCAGTCTTGTGTGACAACTCCGGCATTACAATTACAAGTGACACAATCTCACTGCACTATGATACCCTTTTTCCTAAAGGCAACAATAGAAAGCCGAATAATCAGCTTTATTTTTTTCTGCTTGAAATTGTCCAATGATGCTTTTCATGGTGACCCCTATTTGCTCTTTCTTTTTCACTTTTGGTGGATCATTTAGACCAACTCAATCTTTTGGTGAGTTAACATTTCAAAAGACCCCAAAATAAATGGATGTCCTTTTTTGCGTAACGCTCTGAAAGATGCCAAACTTGGTACGTGAGGATGGTCAATTATAGCTAGGGCATAGAATCATGGCTTTGCTTTTTTCTTGTTTTCTTTTTCTTTTTCCTAGGTCACATCACTTTTTAATTAACTAATGGACATGCACAGCTATCTTGTCAACTAATTTGATTTTCTGTCAAAGTTTTCTAAAAAATTGGATGGTGGAACTTTCAAAATGATTTCATTTTTGTGATGATTGAGAAGGAATTGTTGGTTTAGAGTTCAAACAATATCGTTAGATTGTGGTTCATGGAAGCAACCTAGCTAGGGTAACAGTTTCATTCAACATCTTGGAAATAATCACGAATTCATGATATGTTACTTTTTCATCTTCATCGTGGTTCTTAGGGAGGGATCGATGAAAACTAGGATGCATCAAATTACCCAAAATGTATATTGCTACAAAGAACATACCACTTATAACACTATTGTTTTAATTTGACTTGTTAGGTACATAAAGTAATGATGCGTGACAATTTTTCACACTGCTTTTCTTGTGCTAATGGTACTCTCGAGATAAAATAGCATTTTAACTTTTACTATGGTTAAAATCAATATCACTAAATGTATTTAGATTCACTGAAAAGG